TTCTTGCCACTGATTGGCGGCTTTGAGCAGAGCGATAGTTTATATCGCTGTTTTCACAGATGAGTTTTTGACTCTTTTTGTCCTGCTCGACCTCTGGTGGTGCCAGGAAATTCTTCCGCTGAGAGGAGAGTTGGGGGAGAGCATTGTATTGTAGCAGAAAGGTTCATGGATGCAGGGAAGTGGATATTCCTGAAGGAGTGTGACTGAAGGCAGGATGTTGCTTATGACTACCATATTAAATTCCTGGAGTCATTCCATACCACAGAGATCATACATGGTACCTCACTATTCTGCAGAATTCTTGTGCATATAGCTATATGGGAGAGACACGAGATAAAACCTATTAACAAATGATGGGTGGAGGTGTCAGAAATAGTAAAATGAAATTTTGATATTGTTGAAATTTCTTCCAGCAACCCTAAGCACTAACTGTGGCCCTCAAGACGCATGAGGGTAAGGCACTCCTGGCTAGCTCCATTTAATATGTCAGAAAATGTTGATTCTTCACCTACAGACCAGGATGTGATCCCGCTTTTCCAATGTTAGCAAAAGAAAAATGAAGGAAGCCAGTGTTTCTATCACTGGAGAGCTGCCAATGATGCAAATGGACGTCAGTGCCTTATTTGAGCTGGTATGACCTGTAGACAATCTTGAGTGTTTCCAAGGGAAAGGCTCTTCTCTTGCAAACTGTATGAAGATGTGGAGTTGAATTTCCCTAGGAGATGGGATGCTCTGCTCCCCATACCGACTATGTCCTGTCCACACCATGGAATGATGGAGAAGAAAATGGACCATGAAGTTCAACTGAGAAATATTTTTCAGCCATTTTTCCCAAATCCATTTCTAAATTTGATCCTTTCCCGTGTAGAAAATTGGCATATGCCAAGTCAAATCGCTGGTTCACCAAGCATAGTGTTGCTTGGATTGGCAGGCAATGAATACCCCAAATCTCAGACTAGAGTCTTTCCAACCTTTCTGGAAGATGCCAGGGGCTGATCTTGGGATCTTCAGAAGGACAAGCAGATGCTCCATCATGGACAGCTCTTTCTACAAATGAAATGAGGATGGATTGTATATTCATGGCAAAGCACGAAGGTGAAGTGAGGGAGATGCTGCGCCTGGCTAGCTAGTATTTGGCAAGCTGGACTAAATGGACCTGGAACTGATGAAGCAGGAGCTTTATTTATTTGGTTTATTTCCTGGTTTATGAGCCAAATAAAACCAGTGCCTCTGGGTTCCGCACAGATCTTGGGGAATTCTGAGCAACTAACAAAATGGGTAATTGCAGCTGAGTACTTTGTTGGAAATTGTGCTCACCTGGTCCAAAAGAGAGAGGGAGAGAGAGAAATAGGCTGAGCATAGCAGAGAACAGCATAATGTTTGGAGCATCCCTTTGCTTTCTTGAAAATTGGTGCTATGTGATTTGTCATTCCTTCGCAGACCTTTTGTCAGAGTTCTCATGCAGCTGGCAGTAGAATAAAGCATTTTCAGCTTTTTCTTTGGAATGAGTTTTCTAAGTCTCCTTTATTTTCAGCCAACGTTTGTGTTTCCACATCCAATTTTGATTCCAACTGTCATCTGTTCCAATGCTGACGTCATTATACTATATTTGCCGTATAAATTAAAGGTGTATGGAAAGAGTACACATCACTGGCTCAGTGATCCACTCTGTTGCCCCAACCCCAGTTCTTGCAGTAGCTTCTTTTCCAATGTAAAGTTATATTAGGAGAATAATCATTTGCTCCGCCACACCCATCAGTTTTAACATAGTCCACATTCTAGCATGATCCACGTAGTCAAAGGCAATTACTATATTGTCGAAGGCTTTCACGGCCGGCATACGATGGCTGGTGTGGGTCTTCCGGGCTGTGTGGCCGTGGTCTTGAAGTTTTGTTTCCTAA